ACGAGCCAGGTGAAGAAATGAAGTAACCCTTTTCCGTGAACACAGGCTGCTTCTATGGTCCGGCTTTACTACGGTAGCTTAATGTGGAATACTGCCACTATTTCTGTTGCACGTTTTGGTCATGAAACAAGAAGCCAATTTTTCAGATATATTCTGAATCTGGGCTACAAAGGCAGCATGCAAGAGAGGGCTATTTAATGTGTCTCATTATTTGGTTGCTAGGCATGAGCACGGGCCAATCTGGGCCCGCCCCATGCTGACCAAGCAATCCTCCGGTGCAGGTTTGGCCTAAAGTTATCCGGGCCGAAAAACGTTTAAGCAAAATATTTAGCCTGCCCCGGGCTTATCTGAGGTTCGGCCCGGGTTCATTTCGTTATAGTCACAACGATTTTTCCCTTTTCCCGTCCTCTCATCCGCCCCCTCCATTCCTTGGCGCCATGATGTGCGGACATTAAAAGAACCCTCACAAGTCGGTAGGTCAATCAGCGATTCCCAGCAGCCCTCCCACAACCACGCCCACCACAACATGTGTCAAGCTGTTTTCTTTGGCGCCACGTGAGAAACCCAAGTTGTGCAGAACCCTAAAAAGTAGTGCGTGTGCGGCTAGGGTTGGTGGACGAGCGATCCTCTCCCCAACCCTTAAAACGGAATGGTTACAATCCCCACACCAGAGCTTCTTTAAGGTAAAAACATAAAAGTGACCAACTTGGGAGATGAAGTAGGATGAGTGTAGGCTAGGATCAATGTGGCTTAAATAGACCTGGAAGTCAATTGTTGCCTGGGTCCAACACGACCCATTGAATGTTATGCTCGAGGTAGTCTTCCTTAAACCGGGATAGGCTCCTACACACCTGGCACCTAGCCAAGCCGACCCAACACGATTCGATTCGAGATGAATCATGATAAGCTTGTGACTCTTCCATACTCGCTTATCTCGAGTACCCCTGGATCGCAAGCCATCACTATTTCTGGACACGAGACTTCACAGTGTTTGCGTTTTTTACCAAGGAATTAGCCCAGTGCTTGGCAGATGATTGACTCATTAGTTCCATTCCATGTGACGTGTCTTCATTTGGGTCGACACTATTTGGCCTCTACTGCTTGCCTTGTACCCTTCAGGGATCTTTCACGCAACCAGCTTTTCGGCACCATTCCTGCGAGTCTCGGTGCTTTTTCCAAAGTAACTAAACTGTGAGTTGCACATACATGAAGTACCTCCCAACCCATCTAGTTTCTTCCCCTTGTGAGTTTTTACTGCAATTTTGTTCCTCTCATTGGCTTCCACGACTTACACATTGCAATACATTTAAACGCCCACTGACCTGCTCTACCCGAACTGTTGTGTAACTCAAAGGACAATGCGCTTGACTCGAGTCAAGGGCTCCCTTGAAGTCTCGAGTAGAAAAGAACCTAACCCCAGCTCGAATCATTTGACCCTGGCTCGGTTTATCCCTACACCCAGGTAGTTTCGGCCGCGTCGGGCTACGGCGTGGCCCGGGTCAATTCATCTTGGACTTTTGGTCGTCGACCAAAAGCAAACATTTGGGCTTTGGCGGCAAAACCCGGTTTGGCCCGACCTAAGCCAAAAGCCCAAATTGGTAGTCCAGGGCAGAGACCGTGCCGGTTCGGCCCAGGCCGACCCATGTTCATTCTTCTGCTCATGCGTGCTGGCCACCCTGGGTCAACAACTTGATGATAACATTTAATTCCTCTTCTTCCTTCTTTGCTTCCTCTCCCTGCTCCTCCTCCTCGTCCTCGTCCTGCCGCCACCGCCTCCTCCCACCCCTTCCTTCCCTCCTATTTGCTGAATCTCGTTTCCTGACAACTACCTCATTCATGTTTTCCCTCTGCCATTACCCACCACACATATCTCCCTCCCCTTCCTCCTCACTTCCAGTGATGCCTCTTCCAACTACCTGTCGGGCCCCGTTCAGGATCTTCCTTGGACCAGAATGGATCTTTCAAGCAACTACTTGACAGGTTCTTTAAATACATCAGCCTGCCTTGACCGCCGACTTGCTGGCAACTGCTTCACACAGCCCAACTGTTTCCGTCCAGCAGCAGCGGGTTGCAGCAGAGTGCACAGCCTTTTGTGACGTCACTGGTGCTATGGGTGCCTGTAATGGTCATGGCCTTTGCTATCCAGACGGACCCAGCCTGGGTGCCAACATGCGTGTGTGAAGTGGGATACATCCGCTTTGGGAGGATCAACTGCTTTGCAGAAGGTATGGGTTTCGTGCGGTTTTTTTCTTGCCGAAACATTTTCCACATATAGCATAGCAGAGGCACACATCCACGCGGTCAGCACTTCGTTCATGTTAAACATTGATAACCCAATTTCCTCCAGGCACCACACGTCTACCAGCTAGTAAGCATGAACATGCCTCGAACCCGAACATTGTTGAACCGGCTGGGTGGTCGAGCTGAAGCCTATCCTCTTCAGATTATACATGGTCAAACGAGGCGAGTTTTTACTCGAGTCGTTTTGGGTGCTTGAAAAACACGAGTTTCGGGTTCTGTTTTTTGTAAAAAAAAAAAACTCGACTACATGAGTCGAGTTTTACTCAAGAGTTAAACAAAAAAACTCTTGAAATTTTCAAATAGGTAGGGGGATTTTTTCCGCGATTTTTTTCACTCGGGAGTTTTATAAACCTTAGACAAGTTTTTTAATCTTGCGCGTCAAATGGAACACCAGAGGGGGGGTACAAATGGGTTAGTGTCCTGCTAAAGATGTGACTCACTGTTTGGAAGCGTTCCACCACTTAGTTGCAAACACCAGTGCAGGTGGCGTGGCGGTGAGTAGCTTGGCTGGAAAGTGATAGGGGGGGGGAAGAGGCGGTGCTGGCTGGTATGTTTGTGGGTGTTGACGCATGGGGCAATTTTCAGGGCACCCTAAGACTGTTTTCGTGTGGCTGGGGGTGGTAACTGGGGTAGAGTTCAATCTCGAGTCGAGATATACTTGACTTGAACAAGTTGTTTTTAGGCTCTTCCTAGTTTGTTTTCAACTAGACTTTGGGGCCGAGTTTTGAGTCAGCACTTTGGCAAAAAAAAAAAACTCGACGAGGGAGAATCGACTCGACTCGTCAGTAAGAAAAAAACTCGACTCGCCATTTGCCCAGGTATAGTTCAGATCCAACCAGTTGGTGATCCACCAGTACTTGGCCCGACTGTTTTGATCAAACCGCCACTGCCATTGTCAGCTCATGCCTATATCATAGCCTATGCCTATGCTGCTGCTTTTCTTGGTTCTTGAAAGATAGATAGAACAGTTACAGAAAAACAATCACAGCATACTCGCAGTTCAATCATCACACAATCCATTTTCATGAACTGCTTCCGCTGCTCCATCAAGTTCTTGCACCCATCTTTGGACTATATGGTGTCCCATTGACCTGTCCACCAATTCATTGCCTCATAATTAAGTTTTGCTATCACCACCCAACACCTTTTCAGGTTGGGAACAGATCTTCTCAACAACCAGTCCAATTCTTCCCCCGTTAACCGTACTTACGAAGGGGACACGGCGGGAGACAGCAGGGAAGTTCATGGCAAAGCCAGTGACACTGTTTGCATACCCGGGTAGTTTAGACACGATATGCGGTGCGGAGCTGGCTTTCAATGTCAACTTCACATTCGCCCTTCTTCCCCAGCGTGGTTCTGTGGCTTCCAACGGCTTTGCGTTTGTGATTGCCGCAAAGGGCAGGCTGGGAAGACCTGATGGTGTAGGGTATGGTGGAATAGGAGCGCGGAGTGTAGCCATTGAATTCGACACGCTATGGAATCCCAAGCACAGTGATCAGAAATTGCAGCATGTGGGGCTAAACATGAAAGGCTTGGATAAATCCTTGGTCGCAGTAGAGTCGCCATTCACTCTCAACAGCGGCGATGCGTACACGGCATGGGTGGACTACGACCCTTCACTTCGTGGCACGGTCAAGGTGTTTCTAGCCGACTCCAAAGTGAAGCCAGGTGTGCCGCTAACTGCAGAGTCAGCTGTCGCTGTGTACGGTGCTGCAGCCTAGTGTGCAGCAGTCGGCGTTCTTCTTTGGCTTTGTGGCATCCACCACTGTGAAGCCCTTTCAGAGGCATGCAATTTTGAAGTCTGGCGTCAGTGCAGGCAAGTATTTACTGGTTGGGGTAGTGATGATGGTGATGAGTGTCCCAAATGATGAGAGAAGTTAAAAATGTTGATGGGAATTGCTGTCTGAATGACAAGGTCAACTAAGTTCGAGGAGTAATGGTGTTAGTATTACAGCGATAGCGGCAACGAGAAGGGCAGAAGTGCCAACCAAAAATGGTGTGCCAATGTTGTGGGAACTGGCAAGAGAACTCGTTTGGTTCATGGTGGTTCAGGCCCGAGCCGGTTTGTAAGCTGCAGATCGGGTTGCTGCACAGGGTCTGAGGGTTCTGAGCCTTTGAAGACCTCCTTCGGTGCATTAAGAAGCAACAATTCTGAGTCTAAATCAAATCCTCGCCTTAGGCTTTTTAGCAGCTTTACCTAGTCTTGTCCTATGATTGAGCATCACAATGCATTCTCAGGCAGCTGAACCTGCCATATTGTTGTTATGTTCGAGGCGAGGCCATAGTGGGAGGAAGGGGAGAGAGAGAGGTAGACGGGTATTTGTGGGTGTGTCTTACTATTCTCGTTAACCAAGGCCAGACGCGTTGAGGTGGCTTGATTCTTGAGGTTGCGAGCTGGGCTCGCTCTCAGCCGCCGTGTCTCGGATTGAAGTAGCAACAGGTTACTCCGACCTGTGATAAGTCTCGTGATGAGCCTGCTAATCTTGTGGCGAGCCTTAATTGGCCTATTTAGGGCGAATATATTGTGCATCTTGTGGCGAGCCTTCATCATCTCCCGCATGGAGATGATGAAGAATCGTGGTTGATGGTTAGAGCGAGCTTGCATCTTCCAGCCACTCATGGGGTAGTTTCCCTATGTTTTTCCCAGCCATCCTTTTAAGGCTGCACTTAAGTTTTTTTCCATTTGTGCCTATTTACAGGTGTGCTTCCATCCAAGCTGGTCCGGAGTACAACTCAAGGTGAGATTTATGTCATGTGCCATCATTGGAGATAATCAATGGCAACGTCTGGGATAAACCAGGAAATGCCCCCCCCCCCCCCCCCCCCCCCCCCCCCCCCCCCCCAAAAAAGTTTAGAATGATGATTTCGATAACACGGTTTGGCTCCCCTACAAATATGTCGGGTGCACAGAATCAAGTGAAAATGGTTGGAACGTATAACCAAAATGGATCTGTGTGTTAAGAGCAATAAAACTGTTCTTCGCATGCCATGTGTGCTTGACAATCACTCCCACACTTCTTTCTGTTCTTCACAGCCGTTGGCCTCGAATTAGCGCCGGGCGCATTTGCACCACCCGGAGCCACCCCTTTCTTCCGCTATGTGAGCACGGACTACGAGTTGGCAACCACCAACGATGACTCTTGGCGCATCCGTGACTTCCATACCTGGGACTCGCTGGCCTTCCTTGGCTGGCCTGTGAAGGATCAGATGGCTTGCAGTGAGTGGCAAGAGTGTGGGAATCTGAAGGATGCCTCTGGAGAAATTCAGTTTCAGGTCAAAAATACACTGTTATTCCAGCTTGCATGGTCTACGTCTTGTTGGGATCCTGCCTAGCATCAGATTGCAATTTCAATCTCAACTGATGCTGGTTAACGGTTCTTATCTTCAGTTGTATGCAACGCTGCAAGAGGATTCCACTGCGAGCGCCTCCAATTGTCAAAGTTTTCACCCTCACCTCTCAGGTGCATGCTGGGCGTATGCGGTGGTGGCGAGTGTGGAGGCAGCATATGGCATTGCAACGAATCAGATCGCTCCTCAGCTGTCAGTGGAGCCACTCTTTGCAGCCATGGGGCTCACCGATACAAAGTGCACTGCTGGAGGCTCCCCCACTGCGGCTTTTGAGAAGCTTGTGACTCTTGATGGCAGCAGTGGACTCAGAGGAGGCAGTAACCAGGTAAGGCAGCCATAATGAGGTTTTTGTGATTGAAGTGAGGTTGAGACGAGAGGGGCTTAATCATGCGCATTTGAAAGGTCTCCAAACTGGTGGTTAGAGCCTTTAAACAACCCAGTTCTTATTCTGATAAATACTTGGCATGCTGTTTGGTGGGTGATGCATTGATCCGTATCCTGCTGTACGTGGCTTATGTGTTTTCTTTTACCCAAAAAATATGCATGGCAGGGTGTATTGTTGCCAAATCCTCTAGCAAACTCCAGTCCCGTCTCTTTTGATTAAATTCCTTCAGTTTGTTTTCCTGTTCCTAGGCAACACCATATCCGGTGCATGCATTTGAGCGGGCGTACTTCAAAGGGTATGAGGGTCTCATGCTGGCAGTGCGGCGCCAGCCAGTGGTGGTTCACATCGAGGCCTTAGCTGACACGTTCATCATCTATGATGGGGTGAGTCATTGCAGCATTCATTGCTCATATCGTGTATTGCACTCTCGTAGGACGACACGTACATTCATAATCACACATTGCACAGCATTCTGGAAAGCCTTTGGTTCTAGCATTGTCTTCTCATGTACTCTCTAGTTATACTCTCTGTTTACCTGTATGCATGTCCTCTCCCCTTTCTGTCTTGTGGTGCACTCCTTTAGGAGAATGACATGTACATTCACAATTACACATTGCGCAGCATCATGGGGAACCTGTGGTTCCAGCATAGCTGCCTCTACATGTCCTCTGTATTTACAATTGATGTATGTCCTCTCCCCTTTCTGCGTCAGACATTCAAGTACCAAGATCCTGCTTGCTACACTGGCAGTCTGAACCATGTTGTACTCGTCATTGGCTACTTCATTAATAGAGATGACGGCAGCCAGGGACGCATTGCTCCTCCGTTTTGGATCATCCGCAACTCGTGGGGAGTTGATTGGGGCGACCGTGGCCACATGCGCATGGGCATTATGGGAGGGGATGGCGTGTGCGGCATCAACGTATTGCCTGGCATCTACCCTGTTGTCAAGAGTGAGGCACCTACCCCATTGCCTGGTCTAAGTGTACCCCGTTATCATATGTGGTGGTGCACCTTAAACCAGCTTCAAGTGCAATGTCCGGTGTGGCACATTTTCAACCAATGGCAAGAGTAAGGCATCTGTCCCATTATTAAGAAGCGTCTATCCCACTGTCAAGAGTTGGCCACCTACCCTTCTACCAAATGAAATCAGCAGTGCAAGCAAGGGAATGAGGGGCAGTTGGGTGTTGTGCCCCATGTTTCTTTTGCCTAGTTCATCCTCAAGTCTGTTTTTTAAGAATCGAGTTTCCTTCTTTCTTACCTACCTAGCAGTTGCAAATGTTGAGTGTCAATGCGAAGGGATGGCATGAAGGGGACCTGGAATGACCAACCCCCCGTGAGGCTGCTGAAGTAGCCACGGCATCGGAATTACAGTGTGAGAGTATTCTGGAGCGTTCGAGTTCGGAAGGAAGTGCATTGAAACAGAAACCGAGGAAATGTATCGGTAACCGCTTTTGCAGATTATGTTTAACATTCGAGATTGTGGAACCGGTTCCTTTTAAATCTGACTCATGAAGGTCAGTCTTGTCACCAGTGCTCGTTCAGGTTGGTGGCAAGCTTGGAACAGCACAAGCACTTAGCGGTGCTTACACTTTTTCATCTTACACAGTTGCAGAGTTACTTGCAATTTTTTTGGTCATACACTTGTCCACCTTACATATTAAGCATTTCATTGTAACTCTTTGCCACCTTTCAGTTCCAGGGGACCCCTGCAGGAAACAAAGCTACAAAGGCGACCAGGATTTATACGGCATGAACCCCTGTGGCCGGTTCCCGTGTCAAGAGACCAACGGAGGCCACAGCTGCAGCTGCAATATTTCTCCATTTCCTCAAGCTATGAGGCAACCTTTTGTTGAGGTTGATAATGGATACGGCTCCAAAACATGTGCTTACGGTAAGATATGGTTGTGCCAGAGTAAGTTTCCATGCCTGCGGCAAAAAGGAAGGTCCTATTAGGTCTTCGTGGCACACGCCTAGCTGGCTGAGCAGAGGCAGACTATTAAATCCCTTGTCCAGGTAGAGCAGGGAGGTTTTGCCACAGGAGAGGAAGCAGCGTCCTTAGCAAGATGTCCTGCCATGAGGCAATGTTGGAGCCATGGTCAGTGTTGTTAATGGCATTAGCTATGTCTGCCTGGGGATGAGGATATCTGGGTAAGTGCTTGTGTATGAGCACCTGCTGTGCTCGTGAGGATGGCACCTGCTGTGCTCGTGAGGTTGGCACCTGCTGTGCTCGTGAGGTTGGCACCTGCTGTGCTCGTGAGGTTGGCACCTGCTGTGCTCGTGAGGCTGGCACCTGCTGTGCTCGTGAGGTTGGCACCTGCTGTGCTCGTGAGGTTGGCACCTGCTGTGCTGGTGAGGTTGGCACCTGCTGTGCTCGTGAGGTTGGCACCTGCTGTGCTCGTGAGGTTGGCACCTGCTGTGCTCGTGAGGGCGGTTTGAATGTCATGCCTGATGGCCCCATTCTCGCACCTGCAGAGCATCTTCGCGAAGGCTGTAACATATATGCATCAACAGGGGGTCCTGGATCCGCGACCGGCCATGTTATAGGTGCACAATTCGCAGCTGGGTGGTTTGCTTGGATTGGAGCGCTCTCATTGGTGCTGTTTGGCTCAATCTTCCCCACTTTTCCCCACTCTCCAACGTGCACTAACTGTGGCAGTGGACGTGTGCGGGTCGTACTTCAAGAACCCCTGCTACGTGGGCACATGCATCAACGATCTCAAGGGCTCCTACTCCTGCATCTGCCCTCCCAACCACATTGAAAGAGCTACAAATTACGGCTTCCCAACCTGTGATCCAGGTGATGCTTCAACCTTCTTGGCTTTCATTCTTTCAGGTTGTCCTGTTAGGATTGTCCAGCATATCAAGGCTGTAATGGGCTAATTTCTCCCAAACCACGCTTTCCCTTTCTTTTTTTCCTTGGTGCCTCTGCCTCGTTGTACTCGCTCTCTACAGCGGATACCACTGCCACCAGCATGACGGTTAGTGGAGACAACTGGCAATGTTCGGATGTTTATCCGAGTGTTGGCATCTCCATGAACAACTTCTTTTCTAACAATCCGGTGAGAAAAAAATCTATAATCGTGATGATTGTGCTGGACACAACAATCCGTGTGTTTTTAGTTGTCCTCGTCAGCTGTGTAGTGTACGCAATTTTTTCACCCGTAGCATCGCGAATGCTCTGCATTGGTGAGCAACGCATATGAATAGACCCCTGCACTCACTCCGTCAATTTTTTGTGCGCACGTTTCGCAAAGCAGGGGATAAACTGCAGCCAGCCATTGGACAAAGGCACTATTCTTCAGCTTGCTGGTACTCCTGGCACACCTTGCACTGCCTTCTTTTACACGATCAAGGTGTGATCAGTTTGTCTCTTGATATTATCTCACCATGCTCTTAACAAACCTGTCTAGCCAAATGAGCACTGTTCCGTGCATCCCCGAGTAACTCATGCCATGTGCACTGTTCCGTGCATTTTTCAATCCTACAGGGTGACACTTGCTCATCGATCAGCTCGCAACTGGGTGGAATCAATCTGGACATTCTCAACCCCGGCCTTGATTGTTCGTCCAACAACCTAAAGGCGGGTCTGTCGATCTGCATCGAGCGCAGTGCTGATTTCGCCTACAACGTCTTCGAGTGTTCGAGATACGGCACGCTGACTTCTCAAGACACGTGCCAGGTGCTGTTTCAAAGGGCCGCCAAGGAGTCGGGAAGCACCTGGGCTGATCTGTACCGCAGAAATCCTGGCCTCACTTGCTCCAGAACCATCCCTAGCGGGACTGAATTGCAGGTAAGGGTTGAGAGGTGGGGCCTTCTCTTTTGCCGAAATGGATCAAAGGTAGGGGGAGGAGGGGGAGTGGTGGGCCTGTGCAGAGAGAGGGATGGAGGGAGAGAAGGGAGTGCAAATGGGTGGAAAAAGGTGATCGATGGTTCCCGTGCCTAATAAAACTCGATGACCTCTTTTTTTTAATATATAATTGCACTCTCTTACATGTCGCATATGCTTATACAAGGATGAATGCGCTTACATGCACTATTCGATTGTAAGCGCACCCTCGTTCAGCATCCTTGCTCGCTTCAGAAACAGGCTGAATTTCCTGATCTATGCTAAAAAAACAGTCCTTAAGGTTGTCCGATGCGGTCATTTGTTGTTTTTTTTTTTCTTTTTCTTTAATGTCGCATTCAAGCAATTCCATTCTGTCAAACCATGGAATTTTGACCTCATCAGCTTGATTTCTTTTTTTTTTTAATATGCCATGTTACACCTATCAATGTCTTTCTTTTTGTGCCAGGTTTGTGAAAGGGCAGAGTATTGGTCATTCACTAAAGGCCAGTGCCTTATTGGTACTAAGACAAAAGTGTCGCCGGGCATGTCGTGTTCCATTGCAATTTCAAGGTACTACGTAGATAAAGAGCAGTTTAAAGATTATAATTCCAAGTATTGTGTTGGTAAGGTAGGCAATGGTATGATCTGTGTGCCATAAGGTTTTAGTAGATATGCAGGGATTATTCAGCCATCAACATTCTGCTTGTGCTTTGACACAATTGTCATGTCATTTATAGCTCCTGTGCTTTAGACTTTGCTTCGTACCGTAATACCTCGGATATAAGACCCGAGGGTATTATAAGAATCCCACCCCAAAAATGGTCGGGGGGGGGGGGGGAGGTCGGGGGGTCTTAACAGCTGGTTACATTCTATAAAATCCGGGTCATATCATGAGGTCATGTATATTGCTTGTGTTTTGTTAACCATAATGTCTTGTGCTTCGTCCTTAGCATTCAAAGTGAACACGCGGAATTAACTTCTTTGTTAACATTCAAATGAGTACGTGGAGTGGACAGGATGATGAATAGATGTGCTTTTGTGATTGGCTGTTGCCCTCGTTAATGAACATTTTATGGGATTTGGTGTGGAAAAGGGTAGAGTAGCTATCAGATTTGCATTCATTGCCTATACAATGACCGATTCTCTAGGGGGAGGGGGGTCATATAATGTTAGTCCCCAATTAGGGGGGATAACTACAAACAACCTATTTAGCGTACCCCCCTCCGTATTAAAGACCCGGGGGTCTACAAATGGAGGGGGTCTGATATCCTAGGTATTACGGTAAATCCTTGAAACTTTGATGTGTGCGTGCCTTTCAAACATACTTTTAACCCTTGCCACTTGTTGGGAACAACAAGTCTTAAGCGCCTCTGTCGTGTCAAAACACCAAGTCAGAAGCGAAGCGAACCATATCGAAGCATTGGCGAGACAACCCTCAGAGGTTAGGGTAACCGCCTGGAGGTTACGCGAAGGTCAAAGGTCAGCGACCTTTGACTTGACCAATACAGCGCGACAGCAAGGACACACAACTGACTCGACATTGAGCAGTTGCCCGAGTCGCACTGTATCGAATCGCAACAGCAAGGTAGTTAATTATATCTATTCGTATTCCTTGTACTCTTATATAAAGCTTTGTATCTGCCTGTTTTAATCAACTTACTTTGCCCTCACATACTAGCGCAAGGTGGTTCAAGATCTTTATTCAACGCTTCCGCTATTACAATCCTACTCAGACTTTAACTCTACAAAGATCCTAGGGCTTCTCAGCCCAACATGGTATGAGAGTGGTTAGAGTTAAAACTTATTATTCAGCAATCCTTACATCAAAGAAGACATGTCAACCAGAAAGGAGAGGAGCTCCTCCAACGGCTCTCCCGGTACTTCTCCTACCCCACCACCTGTCTGTGGCCTACAGACAGAGGAAGGGACTACCACCAGACCAGCAGCCGGGTCCACGGAAACGCCAGCAGGCTTCGATCCAAGCATGATGGAGAAGTTCTTCTCCTTCATGTCCTTCTACGAGCAACACCAGCAAGGAGTACCTGCGCAGTCAAACAACAGCAACAACAACAACGTGACTCCTATGAGTCTCGACGGCTCATCCTACGCACGCGGGATTCAACAACAACAGCAGCCTACCTTTGCGCCGTACGAACCCCAGCGTGGCTCCGTCAGTTTCATGCCGCAACCGCAATCTGCACCGGAACAAGAAAGGGCATTGAACGCATTACAAGTTCAATCGCAATTCGCGCACGTTCTCAAGCTGCAAACAACAAAGCCTTTCAACGGGAAAGACTTCTTCACCTGGTCGTTCGAGTTCGAACTGATGATGGAAGGAGCACAGATTCTCGGCTTCTTCGACGGGTCCCTGCCATATCCGACAAACGGGACACAATATGAGAAGCAGCAGTACACCTATCAATCAATGATGGCGTACACGATACTGCTAAGAAACATCACCCCGACCCAGCAGCAGAACATCAAGACTTACCGAGGCTACGGCAACTCCGCGGAGCTCGCGTACAACCACCTGAAGAACCTGTATCAAGCAACAGACAGCGTAAATCAAAGCAGGTTAATCAGCTGACAACGATTGAAATGAAACCAGGCGAGAAAGGCATGGCTTATATCAGCCGCTGCCGCGAATTGCGCGACAAACTTCTTCGATGCGGAGGGTCAATTTCAGAAGACGCCTTTGTCACGGTGGTCATTGGCGGTCTCGGCCCCCACTGGCGCTCCACTCGCGCCACTCGCTCCACTGGAGCACACGGGAGGATCTCCGAAGCGGCACTCTGCGCCGAAATCCACGCCGAACAGCAGGACATGGACCTGCAAGAAGAAAGACACAAGAAGAAAACATTAGCACTAGAGTTTGCGTTTCACACTCAGCGACGATACAACGGCAACAACAATCGACAACAGCAACAAGTGAAGACGGTACCTCCGTTTTGTCACATGTGCAAGACCTCGGGTCATCCTCGCACGCACTGCCCGTCTCGTCAGCAGTCGACAACACCACAGCGACAACTCCGGCCTTCAAGCTCCCAAATTGCCTCAACGCAAACAAATCCGACGACCACAATCCAGGCTTCAACGACTTCAACTGGACAACCTGCACAAGGAGCAAGAAATATTGTCAATTGCATGGTCAAGATAAACGACTCCTGCACAACAAAGTCACCACCGTACTACTCACCCGAAGAACAACTTGACAACAGCATGCCTCGCCGCGAATCTCTTCAACCGAACCCAACGTACGCCGCCATCGCTCAAAGTGAACCGTCCGGCCAAGACACTTGGTTCTTGGACAGTTGCTGCGGACAACATATGTGCTCCTCCGGGCGCTTCGTTCAACGCGAGCATCGACTCCAGCGAGAAGTGGTCATTACCGTCGCCAACAATCAGAACCTGCGCACACGACGACAAGGAGTGGTACAGCTTCAGTCACGAGAGACAAACGTCATATTACACATGTCAAAGGTACTTATCGCGGAGGGACTCGGCTACAACTTACTGAGTGTCAGCCAGCTGATGGCGAAAGGTTTTCACTTGGAAGCCGACAGCACCACCCAAGAGTTTAAGTTGTACCACGGGAAGGGCGGCCTCTACA